GGGGAAGCCCTGCTGCCGCCCCTGTGCGCGCCCCGCTCCCCTCAGTGGGCGGCCCCTGGGCTCTGCGCCCGGGAAGCGCCGCGCGGGGTCCCCGCCTGCGGACCCTCTGCGTTGACGCGCTCTACCGCTTGCTCTCCTGGGCTCTCGCTCCCTGGCACACTTGCGCACGTGGGCAGAGTATTTGAGCTCGTTGGGATTCTCTCCGGCGCAGGGCAGTCTCAGCACTGTCTGTCCGTGCCGGGGAGCGCTCCCTCCCGTCTTTTGCCTTCCCTACACCTTTGCAACTGAAATTATTTCCTTCTTCTAGGAAGTTCCCCGAGATCACTCGCGGGCTCCCTTTGCCCTCGGGAGGTACCAACCGGGCTCCAGGGTCCTGGCACAGACTGAGGGCAAAGGAGAGGCTGGCTCCCCGCCGCGCCACCAGCGCCAGGCGGCCCATGGGGACTGGAACCCGAAGTGTGCCCGCACAGAACAGCTTGGGGCCACTGAGCTGGGAGGAAAGCGCCTGGTACAGCCCTCCCCACAACACACACCTCTTCCCTTCCCCCCTGCTGCAGGCAGGCGCTCAGGGGCGCTGGCACAGCATTCAGTCGCCTCGGGAACCAGGTAGAACCAGGAGCCTCGTTCTCAGGTTCCGAGCCAAAGGCCTCAACGCTCACCCGTGCTCTGGGGGTCAAGATGTTGGGCCGGAGTCCCCCGGGGCTTGGCTTGGCTTGGCTTTCCCATCATCTGTCAGGATGGGAGGATGAAAGAGAGCCCAGTCAGGCAGTGAATTCTAATGACCTAGAACAGAAACTGCCAGGTGACCATATCCAGGAGGGAATACTAAAAAGAGCCCCTGATGTTGGAACATCCCTTACCTATAAGCATCAACTGAGAGCAGCCTGTGCAAACCTGTGTCCTAGATACTAGGATTCTTCATACAGCTCTGCCCTGGAGAAGCTGGGGAGCCGAAGAATCACAAAGAAACAGCAGGGAACTAGGCAAAGCAGTATTAATAAGTCCCAAAGAAGTGGTTCAGAAAACTGGGCCACTCAGGTCGGAAGTCAGAGTCATCCCTCTGGGGACAGTCTCCACGGCCCTATAGTTAGCCCTTGCAAGACAAAGTAGACAAGCAGAAAGGGAAGGGATTCTTGGTGCAGGTAAGGCTGTGAGTGCAGGTGGGGCAGGAGATGGAAAGGGTTTGGAGTCATAGAGGTTTGACGTTGCTGACAGAGCAGAGGGACAAGCCAAGGTTAGTAGTGGGGACCAAGTTGCGGCAGTCCTGCCTACCAGAGTCTGTCATCTGGATCACAAATTAAAACCTTTGTGCACCATTATCTTTATCATTTCTTGTTATATTGGAGTTACCCAGAGAGAGAATTTAAAGGGGCATGTGACTTCATGTCTGTAGTCATTAAGAAAACCAAAAAACCAAACTAACTGCCATCAAGTTGATTTCAATTCATGGTGACCCTGTGTGTATCAGAGTAGAACCGTGCTCTGTACGGTTTTCATGGCTGATTTTTCATAAGTAGATTGCCAGGCCTTTCTTCCAAGGTGCTTCTGGATGAACTCGAACTACCAACCTTTTGGTTAGCCAGTTAACCGTTTGTACTACACAGGGACTTCAAGTTATTAAGAAGAGGCTTTAAAACACATAGATCTTAAGACCTTCCCAGTTCGGGGCCCCATTTGATGCTTAAATTTATTCTATACTATCCCCTCCGTATCACCATCCTCTGCATGCTAGAAATCCTGCCACTGACAAGGAATCCACCCTTGAGGGAGCTTGTACCCTCTTCAGACAGCTCTGTTGAAAGCTCTTCCTTATGGTGACCTGCAACACACGTCCTTGCAACTTCTGTCAGTGCACTAATCCTACCCCACCTGCCCCTACCACCGCCCGCCCACCAGCTGCACTGAACTGATACAGTCACAGACGGTTCAACTCAAACTTACTTAAGAAAAAAGAATTAATAGCTCCCAAAAATGAGAAGTCCAAGGGAAGGTCTGGCTTCAGGCACCGCTGGATTCAGGGTACAAGCAATGTGGTCAGGACTTGGTCCTTTTGAACTCTGCTCTGTCTTCTGCTGTGTTCGTTTCAATCTCAGGATCCAGGTAGTTGCAAGATGGAAGCAAGAATTCCAGTCTTCCATCCTCTCAGGGTCAAGTCTGACAGGACAGAACTCTGCCTTGGTCCCAGAACTCCCAGCAAGTCTCATTGAATGCCGTTGGCCCTGCCCAGCCCTGAACCTATCACTGTGGCCGGGGAATCATGATGGATTGATGGTCTCAGGCTTGGGTCACGTCCTTCATCCCTACAATGGGAGTAGAACCCTCACCCAAAGCCCCTGGCCTGAGAGTGGAGAAAAGGTGACCCCACAGACAGGGTGATACTTTGGAGTAGGAGAGATGTTTAATGGAGAGGCAAACAACCAAGGGCCAGAGCACCCCCTTCGATGCCACAACCATGCAGAGTGAAGACAACTAGCATGCCTCCTTGAGTTCTTCCAAACCCAGGATCTTCAACCAGTAAAAGAGAGTTATTCTGGGTACTCATGGTAAGGCTTCCCACCTTCTGCCTCTGTCAATACAGACTTGTAGAACTGCCTTTAAACAAGGCTACAATGCCATCCCTGACATTTGTCTTCAGCTGTCTGGTCTCTTCTTTCTCCATTCCCTTCTGCCACCCTGTCATCTTCCTTAATGGTCTTTTTTTCCATTTATCAAAATCTGCTATCAAGAGAAGGCCAAAGACTCATTTATTGCATAAACCTGGATCAGGATTTCTGATGGGCTCTCTCTCATAGAATTTATAATTTAAGACAGGTTCTTCTTGAAAGGCAGATAGGTTCTATTCCCCATGAAAGGGACTTCCAATGGCATCCTGGGTGCCCCAGGTCCCTCAGCAGGCAGCTACCCCTATGCGTTTGGAGGTGGCTGGCTCTAGGAGCTGTGGCCCCAGCAGCTGTCCAGCCGTGTGTGCCAAGCAGGTGGAGCCCTCCAGAAGTACCACGTTGCTGTGCCAGCAGTTAGAGGAGCCCACGAGGGAGTGAAGAAGCAAGGGCAGGTAGGATAAAGACAGCATCTGTCAGTCTTTATGAGACTCCTATGGAATGCAACCATTTCTCCAGTGGAGGAAGTGTGGGGCAGGTCTTCTAGCACCCTCAGAAATGCTCTATCATAGAAAATGAGATCAACACGGCAATCCTTTGTCTGAGTATGTTGAGTACCGGAACTGTCAGGTGTGAGACTGACCTTAGAAAAGTCATTCCAGAATTGAGGCACGCATACAAGCAAGTCTCCCCCTGGTGCTTTCGTGGCTGCACGCATTTTCAAAGTGCTACTTTGGGAAAATCTCTCATACTGAGTTACGGGCATGCCAAGAAAATCAACTTTGTCTCTCTGTAGTCATGCCTATGGTGTTGGATTTTGTTTTTAAACCCCAAACATTCTGTTTATGGTGTTGGAAACTTTGGCAATGGATATTGGTGATGGTTGTGCAACGTGATTGGTGTCACTGGTACACGTGAAAAATGTTGAACTGACAAATATTGTTATGTACATATTTTCACAGCATAAAAATAAACCCAACAGCATTGTCCAGCGCAACGATCCTGTATTGACCAGAGTTTTCATTGTTTCCAAAAAAAACCAAGCCAGCTGCAAAGAACACAAATTTGCAGCAATTTCTTATCAGCTTATTTCCAGCAGCTACACTTTGTATTTCAGTGACATCTACCTTGCTGCTGTAAGAGTATGTCCTGGAAGGAGGCAGGTGGCATGGTGACCCTCACCTATGGAGACACGACCAAATCTTCCCACTGTGGTTGCCTGGTACAAACTTGCTGATGTTTGTAAAGGATCTCAGAATAATTTCAGAGCAGGTCATCGAGTTCAGCCTACAACCTGAACCATGAGTGTCTTCCACAACGCTCTCAACAAACATCTGTCTGCTTGAAGACCCCCAGGGATGAGGAACTCACCCATTGTTCATTACATTTCCAGAGAGTTCTATTTGTGGATGTTGTCTGAGTAGAAACAGACTTAACATCTATGGGTCCAGCTTTGGGGGCCACACAGAATAAATTTAGTGCCTATTCTTCTATGGTATAGTCCTTTAATTATTCTACAGTGAGAAATAGAGAGATTAATGGATTCTCTCCCTGGCCTTCCGTTTCTATGCTAAATATTCTCAGTTCTTTTATCTACTTTCAAGCAATAGTATTTATAAGACCTCTGAGGATATGGCCCTGGACCCAACAATGATAGAGCTAAGACAAATTCCGCATAATAAAAGATAAACTTTGTGCTTCCAGGAAAGAGGTAAAGCACAGTGGGATGAATTAACCCTTTCCTATCCTAAGAGTAGATGTTATCCTTTCCTATCCTAAGAGTAGGTGTTATTCCATCGAAAGAGAAAATGTCTTGACTTAAAGAAGCTTCAGGGAAAGATGGTGGTAATTCCTTGTTCAGAACTGTAAGTTTGGAACTTTCTTTCCTAGCAGGGTTTTCCTATCCTTTTCAAATTTATCATATGACAAGTCAGAGTATCACTTCTCTCACGGCATCCAAGAGATAAATCTTCTTGTGGGAGCTACTAATCGAATTCTCATTGCCATCGATACTGTGGCACAAATTTGAATCCTACAACTTTAGTGAAAGAAGAATGGAAAGCCTCCATATCATACTCAGCATGTATTCTAGTTCTC